CCCCTCCAGGGCGACACCACTCCCAGCATGACCCCATTGCTCCCTCCCCAGGGACATGGGAAGAAGCAGCCTTCTGGGGAGGAAAAGTGGCCATGGAGCGGATTTGTACTTGTGCAGGATGGGGCCCAGCTAGAAAAACCCTGCAGGGACCACACAGTGGGAGAGGGGATCCGAGATGCTCTTGCCTGGCTGTGGGCGGCCCAGCCACAAGCCCCCTCCTCCTCCTAGTCCACGCCAGCAGACACTGCAGGATGGGGACACGTTCCTGACACTGCGGTCACACCAAGCGGGGACACAACCGAAAGTACCGAATCTCTGACGCACACACCCAAACCGAGCAGGGCGGGCGACACCAACAACCAACACCTCTGCAAGCATTTGCACTGCTGCTGTGGCTGAGAGGGCAACGAGGCAGGGACACAGGGACCCTCCCGCCCCTCGCTCTTCAGGTGTGGAAACCCAAGCTATAACCGCCCCCCCCTCGCCTTCCACTTCATCATTCAGCCCAGGACAGGAGAAAATTAAACTGCAACGTCAGAGCGGGGAAGTCTGTGCCGCTGGGCGAGGGCTGCAGCCCGCAGTGCCTTGCTCCAGCATCCCGCTCCCTCCTCTGCTCGCCGCATTTGCTGGGGCGGTGGGAGAAAACCAGCTCTGTTCACCCGAACACACGCAGCATTAAACCTCAGAAAGCAACTCGACACTCAAAGCGGCCCAAGCCCTCGCCACGCAAGCGGAGAGGGCTCTGCACATCCCGGCGCGGCTGCCTTGCACCCATTCCCACCACCCCAGCACCAGCACGTGAGGCTCTGTGCATGCTCACAGCCATAAGGATGATTTTTTTTTTTACCCCAGACGAGCACAGCTTGGTATGGATGTGCTTCCCCACAAGGGTTATGGTGGGTGATCAAGTCCTCTTGGTCTCCCTTTCCTCCTTGACGCAGTGGCCAGGACAGCAGGGACGGGGTGGAAATCAGAAACAAGGGGTTAAGGGCAAGGGAGATTTAGAAAGAGGGGAAGAGAGGTTAAGGACGACCAAATGGCAGCAAGAAAAAAGTCAAAAAAAAAAAAAAAGGATTTAAAGGCAAAAAAAGACTTTACACAAGAATTCCCAGGAGATGGGCAGAAAGGGGCTGGTGCTGCAAGGGGGAGCTGGGTGGAAGAGAGCAAAAGCAACAGCAGAGAGGAGGTGAGAGAGGTGGGAAGGGAAGGGGAAGGGAAGGGAGGGCAGCAGGTGGGTGTGATGGGGGAGGCCCTGGGGATGCTCCCATTTACCCAGGAACAGACTAAACATCCCTGTATAGCTCCCAGCTATTCATTTTTCCATGTTCTGCCTCTTGCGGATTATTTTGCAAGCAGCTGTGGATGTGAGAGGGCTTTGCACCAGGGCTGCAGCTCAGCC